TGCATGGAACTCATCATGCTATTGTCGGAATCTAAAATGAAGACAAATGATTAACAACAAAACAAAATAAGAGAACAAAAGTAACACTAACACCTTGCAGCCTGTTTTCACTGTCTTTATGATATCTTAGAATATTTAGTCCATGATTGTTTACTTTTCTAATCTATAGATTTACAGAATGGGAATCAGATGACTAATTTATGTTTTAATTTACCATTAGTTGCCTAGAAAATATTAATAATCTAAATAGCCACATGCAAGCTCAAGAACTCAACGTAAGTGTTTAATTGACAAATGAATCTTAGCTATTTAACTTAAGATACATTTAGCATATATGGTTGTACATCTAGCATTACAAAAGTCCTGTCCCTGGGTAGGACAGATTTGTTTCAGTGTTGAAGCTGTTGAAAGCATGAAAACAAATAAAGGTAAGAGACAGCCACATTTACTTAGTAGATAAACTAATCCTAGCTAGTCAAGATAAATACCAGACCTTGGCGTTGTGTCGTGGAACCTTTATGGTGTCACTGTGGTAAAGCAATCAAAATAGAGAAAGAAAGGGAACAGGCAGCCAAAGTATTCCTTAATGAAGCATATTCAGGAGAGCACTATATTCTGCATAAAAGCTGAGCTCTTTTCCATAGTTATTCTGTTCTGAAATGTGTTGCTCTGCAAAGATCTCTTTAAGCTGGGCTGCTCAGTTCTCCCTGGGGTTTTTACAAGGGAGTGAAGGTGTGCAGAAAGTAAACTGCTAGAATTTTGTTTCTGGACTTTTAGAATAGGATCTCATCCTCCTAAATACTATATAAACAAGGGGTCAGGTGACATTTACAGTTCATGAATGAAGCTATTTTCCAGGGTTCCTTTAAACAATGTCTCCTAATCTAACATGAAAGCTCCCCAGGTAAACTCCCCGTACTTTAGCAGCCTGTATATGCACAGAAATGCTTATTTAAGTAAGAGATACAATTTCTCCCACTGAGAGGTCTAGACAGGCTATTCTAGGCTTCCAGGAGAGCTGCAGAGTTCCTCCTCCTAAGCCTGTTTTAGCTTTGGGTTTATCACCAGGAATGATGTGGAGTGAAATGTGTCTGTAGGAGCAGGGTCTGGAACGTCTGTGCTGGCCCCTTTGGTCTGTCTACACTGTCCCTTGGGTTAGCCTAAAGGGCTCGCTCATCTGCTTTGTTTTAAACTCTTTGGTCTTGTCAACCTTTCACTGCTCCTTTTTAAAAGGAGTAGCAGACATTATTAATTGGGATGTATCACTGTCTGGTGATCAGGGAACTGTTCGAAATAGAAGTTTTGTGCTTCTGACTGAGTAAAACTCAGAACTTCCTATTCTCTATTTCAAGCACCGATGCAAAAATGAAAGATCACCACTACATACCAATCTTCAGAAGTGAAAGAGGCAGACTGAGCCCTGAGTAAGTGTAAACACCTGCCTTAAGTGATCTGCATGGCTGGCTGGAGCTACCAGTAGAGTATACGGTGAAGGATACCTAAACCGGACTTACTCTCCTCTTTCAGTTTTGAAGCATCACCTTTTCTCTAGTCATCATGAAGGGAATTTAAGAGCACATTTCAGATATATTGATTATCCTTTAGAGCAAGACGCCTAGTATTTTAGTAAAGTAGTACTCAAATTAGGCACTGGATTGCAGCCTTTGCTAAACGGAGCAATCCACATGGCTGGTCAATTAGCTGTGCTTGCAGTATACTCCTGGGTTTGCTGGTGATGAACTATACACATGCTTGATGTTTAACAGACCTTTCTTCGTATTAAATCTGGCACATATGGCAGCCATTACTGAAAGAGAGCAATGCATTTTTTCACTGTCAGCAACTTCGATACTGAAACAGAAAAACAACTCTTATAACACTCCCAGCTGTCTATATCTCCTCCCAATGGGTCTTTCTAGTCTATCTTTTTAGCCCTGCTAGTCTTTCTCAAGCCTGTGGGCTGTTCTAGTCTCAAAATGTACAGCACTCTGCTCAAGGAGATGACACCACCCTCTGCGGTTTTTAGTGCTCCTCACTTTTTGATTTTTTTTTTAGTACAAATTCTCTTATTACGTTGTTTAACAATGTGGATTGCCAGGAGACATATGGAGTAAAAATCCTGTAATAGCTTGAGACATCTTCCTCAAACTAGAATAATCCCAACAGTATCTTTTAAAAGGTCTCCAAAATTCACAGTATTCCTACTGTAACAATTTTTCCACTGATTTTTATTGTCATGAAAATACCTTGCATACTGTTACTTTTTAGGAGACTCTTCATGATCTCAAGAGCAGTTTGAGTTTCGCTGATATTTGCCTTTGATTACTCAGCTTCACAAGTTAAAAATTACCTCATTAACACAAAATTCTTAGCCCCCTCTTACTGAAAATAAGGCCCTGGAAAGTGTCTCAGGTTGGATATTCAAAACAAAAAGCCTCCCAAACCATTAGTCATTTTTTAAAATCTTGGCCGTGGTCTTTTATTAGTCTGTAAAACTTTACCACCATATATTGCACCCTTTAAATAATAAATAGTAACACCAGATGATGGAGGACTGAACAAAACAAACGTGTGATGGAACATATGTGTGTAATCTTGAAGGCTTCATAGAAAGCAGGCCTTTCTGCAAAGTCTGCTTGGGCACCCAAGCAATCACTTGTTCCTACAAAGGTCTTAACAAAATTTTTAAGTGCACGTGAGAATACATCTTATAGTTGTTACATCCTTTCTTCCTGATTTTGAGGACTCTTCTGTTCTTTGTTTGCACTAGAAGAAATGAAAAGTCATGTTTTTGATAAAGTCTTAGCAAACATTTTTGCTCTTTTCTTCTCCTAGTGAAGAATTGTTTCTTTGAATGGGATGGCAGCGTGTTTGATAAGGATCAAATACCTGACCTCCAAATCCACAAAAGGAAAACTGTGATGTGTCTCTCACTTGCTGAGCTCTAGTTCATACAAATAGTCCAGCTGCCTGTCACAAGGTAACCAAAAAGTCCCTCTGCCAGTGACCTCTGTGATAACATAATGAACACCTGTACATGATTAGTAGGTCAAAAGATAAATTCAGACCCCTACGAAGCCAAAGATAAATGAAACAAAACTTTTTTTTTTTTTTTTTTAAAAAGAATGTGCAACATCTGGCAAATTGCATTTAAGCGTGTCACAACAGATATCTGCCACCAGGACTCACTATTTTAAACCCTTCAACATAACATTCATGAAGTTCTCAGCTCATTCTTTATTGGTGAACAGACCTCAGTGCCTCCATATCACCTCTATGCACTCTGTGAAGATTTAGCACAAATGCAAACCAGTTTTACATTGCACTGCCTGGCTTTTACGAGAATCATAGATGCGCTTTTCATGGTGAAGTCTCCTTAAATCACTCACAATTGAACACACAACTATTTTAACCTTCATACAGCAGCGCCTCTGCCTCTCCCCACCTCTCTTCCATAAACTCCAGCTGACAAGCCTTCTCGTCATTGGCATGTGATACCACGTCTGCTGCGGGAGAAGGAAATGTTTGAAGGCCTAAGTGTTTAAAGTGACACTCATAATTTTAATTCAGTACATATTATTTTTGTGCTTATAATTAGTATATCTGCTTAAAGCCAGAACCTTTGTGTTTAGCTATAGATGTAAGTTAATTTAATCTAATTTAAACTTCTGAAATATGCAGCTTAGTATGCATGAAGGAATCAATTTTATACCTAGCTTGTAAGAAAGCCCTAATAATCTCTAAGAGATATTGAAGGATCTAGAGTTCTAGCAGAGTGAAACATTTAAGCACTTTTTTATTTTTAAGCACATACTAAAGCCATGTAAAAATTACTGATAGTAAGAATGTATTTTTTCCTAAACAAAAACCCCAAGATATTACAAACATATTCTCATGAAAGAAAAATTTATGACGTATTTAACATCAGCCTTGCTGAAGTCAGTGGAAGCTGCCCATGTACTTAAGGGTCGCTTTCCTTTTTTTCATTACTTATCTTTTTGTCTACTCTACTTCTAAACATCTTTTGAGACATTCTTAGTTTAAGAAACAAAGTATTAAATATTATGAAATAAGTTATTAGAGATTTTGTTATTAAATTAGCTGAAACTGAATTAAAATAATTATATAAATTAATTTTAAACTACTATATAAACTCATAAAAGGTACCAGGATATATTTTATATTTTCAGTATTTTCTTTAGCTTTTCCCTTAAAATATTTATGTCATTTTTCTGCCTTTGAACACAACGAGTTTTCCTGATATCGTTACTTTAAGTTTGGACTAAAAAAGAAAACAAAAATCCTTCAAAATATTTCATGTGAGAAATATGTGTCTGTGCCTTGGATAGCAAGTTGGCTGGAAAGAGTTTACTTTAGATCAGTGATAAAATAAAAGGTAATTAATTGGTGCCTTGATAATTAAAAACAGACCTCACTGCAGGAGGCAGTGGAGAGTATGATAATTTTGTAGAAATATATGTAAATATCTCTCTGAACAAAAAGGAAAAAGTATGGTTTAATCTTTAAAGAAATGAAAATATGTTATTAAAAAATTCTTAGCAAATGTTTTTGCTATCTTCTCCTAATCAAGAATTATATCTTTAAATGGCATGGCAACATCTGCATTTGATAAAAATCAAATAAAATATTTCCGTAGAGACAGATGGCACTGTTTTTAATTCTTTGTGGCCAGTTCAGGTATTATGAGAATGAATTATGATGTAAGCGAGCTTTGTGTGTAAAGCATCTTCTGACAAAAATTTTGAATAAAGGTACATTTTGTGTTACCTGTTTCATCTAGATCGGTTCCTCTCATCTGCTAAAATGTAAAAAATCAAATGCCTTCAGCTCTGTGGCTGCTTGATATTAAAGTCAGGATTTCCTGCCTTTTCCTGCCTAGGTGCTGAGGTGCCTTAGTTATTTCAGGGGTTAAAAGCTGTAGCCACTGATGCGTATATATTAGGCTGTATTCATAGAACACGACTTGTAGCCTGACTCAAGCTATTACAGTCTAACAACAGTGACCAATAGAAAGAGAAGAAGATCCAAGAAAGCTGAGGTAAGCCCAAACTCTGAAGCAATGTCAAATTAGAAACAATAGCTAATAAGGTGTGTATAGTAATACATCTGGGAATACTAGCATGTACTTCAAGTTTTATATGCTATTAATTCTTAGGAGGACAGGAAGCAAACACAATGGTTAGCAGCCAAAGGCTGTGAATTTACAGTGATTTCTAACTGGCTTCAGATAGCTCCAGGAACTTGAGTAACAGGTAAATTACTTCATATTTCTTTTTGAAAACGTTATTAAATTCACAAGTATTTACACAGAAGGTGCCAGTTCACTGTGTAAATTAGAGATGTTATTCTTTAGAAATATTTTATCTGTCTTTTTTGGAATGCTTCCAGATAGCAGTTTCTGAGGCTGGAAGATCTGTAGGATACTGCACTTGTCACTGCTAATACTGTTGCTGAAAATGGTTAAATGACTACGTATAATATGCAATATTTTAACTGAGCTCATAACCTTACCGGTGCATTTATCCTATGAGAGAACTTAGGTTTTATTTAAATACTGTTTTCACCAGAACTAACCTCCTAATTTTGACCAGAAATTTCAACTGTCAGTCTCTTGCCTCTGCCTTGCAAAATGCTTGCTAAACTTCATCTGAAAGCAAGCAAGATAACACAGATTGTGAAGCACTGGTTTTGTGCTATGCGAATATTACCTTTTGGAGTAAATTATCATTGATGATTTTGTTAATTGTTTAATGGTGGAAGAGGCTAACCAAAGCAAATAATTAAGTGGGTAAAATACATACAAGATGCATGAGTGTATACGATACGATTTGGTTAGGACTTACTTATTGTGTTATTTGGATCAGACATTTGTTTTGACTGTTTTCTTTAGAGAAGGAAATTCGTAACTTCGGATATGAGAGAGTGAATGAGGGAGGGGAACAGATTACTCAAACATATTCCCTCCAAGCTTTTTAAGAACATGCCAAACAAACAGCTGTTAAAACACTCTTTGATCTTTTACTTTTCTGTGATGAGAAACGACCCTAGAAAATCTGATCCAGATGCCATTATAATTTAAGAGAGGAAAAACAGAAAAAAGGGTAGAATTAATTTTAAAAGGAGGAACACTGAGTACAATAGTATTTATATCATCATGGTATCAATAGCTTGACTGAAGATAGTACATTATATAAAGTAGTTTATAACTCTGTACAGGAAAACTCAAAATTTATAAGAAGCACAGATTTAATGTCAGAAAAATGATTTGTGTTTTCAGGTTCTTTGAAATAACACTTGCATGAACATTAGTTAAACTGGTAGCCAATGTGGAGTCTAAGTTGAATCAGAAAAATGTTCTTCAAAATAGAGCATTGAATTGTTTATACCTCTTATATTACTGTTAAGTTTTTCCTTAACATGCCATAGGTAATACCACAGAGGACAGAATTTGACTGTTTCTAAAGGAAATATTATTTTCTATGTAATAATGCTTTATTAATCTAGTATGCTGTTAGAGATTTCTGTTGAGACAGCTAATTGTTTTTCTCCCCTTTCAAGGCAAACAATGATTCTAAAAGTCTATGCAAGCCTTTTGCTCTTATTCTTGGTCAATTCTGTGTGGACTCGAACTGTGAGACAAGTTTATGATGAGCTGGATCCTGAGCATTGGTCTCACTACACTTTTGAGTGTCCACGAGAGTGCTTTTGTCCTCCTAGTTTCCCCAATGCATTATACTGTGATAACAAAGGACTTAAAGAAATACCTGCAATCCCAGCAAGAATTTGGTACCTCTATCTTCAAAACAATCTAATTGAAACAGTTTCGGAGAAGCCTTTTGTGAATGCCACTCACCTGAGATGGATAAATTTGAACAAGAATAAGATCACTAACAGTGGAATTGAGAGTGGTGTGCTGAGCAAGCTGAAAAGGCTGCTTTACTTATTCCTTGAAGATAATGAATTGGAAGAGGTGCCTGCCCCATTACCAATGGGTCTGGAACAACTAAGACTGGCTAGAAACAAAATCTCCAGAATCCCAGAAGGTGTCTTCAACAACTTGGAAAACCTTACTATGTTAGATCTGCACCAGAACAGTTTGTTGGACAGCGCTCTTCAAAGTGACACCTTCCAAGGACTCAACAATCTTATGCAACTCAACATAGCAAAAAATTCACTCAAGAAAATGCCTTTAAGTATTCCAGCTAACACATTGCAGCTGTTTTTGGATAACAACTCCATTGAAGTGATACCAGAAAACTACTTCAGTGCAATACCCAAAGTGACTTTCCTTAGGCTGAACTACAATAAATTATCTGATGATGGTATTCCCCCAAATGGGTTTAATGTTTCATCTATTCTAGATCTACAGTTGTCTCACAACCAGCTCACTAAAATTCCACCAATCAATGCTCATCTCGAGCACCTTCACCTTGATCACAACAAAATCAAAAGTAAGTGTGCATTGTCAGTGTGGTGTTCTACCAAGACATAATTATTTTGAAATGTCTACTTCACTACAAAAAATGCTCTTTGAATTAAAGAGATTAAAAATGTGCTATAGATTGCAGGGAGATGAGGAAGAGGATCTCCCACAGGCCAGTTTTCAAGTCAGGTCTAAAAATATGTCCATGAATTAATGCCACATGTGAAAAATATTTCATATGCATACAGAAAAAAAAAAAAACTTTGCAAGCAGAATTTGTGCATTTACATTTCACTATATACATGCCAGTAACCATTTTGTGAGAATGAATTAAGTTTTCCACAGAAAAGTTAGGAGTAAATAAGCAACAAACAACAATAAAAAAGTGAGTGCAACAAGTTATGATATTCAGTCCACATCTGTATGACTGTTGGATTTTCAAAGTTCCTGAGCACCTCAGAGATTTCACTAAACTAACAGAATTGCTGTATGCTCAGTTCTTCTGAGTATCTCTCAGCCCACCTAAACTATCTAATAGGAACTATAGGTGAGGCATCCTTAAAACGGAATAAAATGTTGGCTGTAGTCAACACAATCTATTTCAAATATCACTAATTAGAATGTGGATATTGAATATTTCAGCATTGAAAGTCCTCCCCATCTTTTGTTTACTGTGCACAAAATGATGACACTTGGGTTTAGTCTTCATGAAAAGACTTTAAAGCTTTGTCCTATTAAGGTTTATCTCCTCAAATATCTGCTAACATTTTCCACTTTGTGTAAGTGAGACAAAGTTTTGTACTCAAGGCAACAGAAGTCTGTTGTCATGTCATAGTTCTTCTTCCAGCACTGCTTCCAGATTCATCCAGGTACAGCAGGGATGTGGTGCTTAGAGGCACTGGGTAAAGTATCTGCTTATTAAGTCCTACAGACTTTAATTTCTTTGTTTCATGCCAAAAGCCAAAATCAAAAAGTGATCACTTTTTATTTATCACTTCACAGAAGGTAACTAAGTCTCTACATTTGTCTTCCTGTCACAGTGATTTAATTGAATAAATGGTTCCTTACTCCTGTTTGGTGTCACTCTAGTTCACAAACATACTAAAAATAATGGTTTAACTTCTGTACAATACAAGGACGTATAAAAGGAAGATACCTACTGATAATTCAGATTAATTCACTGCTTTTTGCAAAACAAATGTATAAAACCTTGTAAAGAAAAATCAATTTTTTACAACTGGCACATATTTTAAGCAGCCTGTAAAAAGTCTAACAGTTAATTAGAGTTAGGTTTATGACGTATATTGTTACTGAATGTATTTCATTGCCCCTTGGTTACAAAGGGATTTATTTTAATTGCTTCACTGCAGGGCCTCAGGTGCAAACTCCATCTTCTGTCACTTTAAGTGGACACTAAATTGAATTAAATGGAATGTAACCTGTCCAGTTTAATAAGTGTTTTGTGTCTAAGTAGCATTTAAAGAGCTGCCAAATTATCTTCCTTTTCTAAATCAGTTTTTAAAACGTTAAAACCATAAAACTCAACCTGTGTAGTATGTGCAAACACAAGTCCTGTTTTCCAATGACACAGGGGTACCCATGAGCCTAAATCACTATAGTTTTCTGCGAGCCTTATATTCCTTAATGCCTTTACCACTTTTCAAAATTCATTATTAATTTAAGCACAAAACTGCTTTTAATTTAAAAAAAAATTTTAGTCTCAGTAACTGCATATAAAGTAGTCAAAAAATATTTTAAAAGGCAACCTGATATCTTAAATGAAATGCAGATATTATGTAAGGCATATTCTACCACACAGAATAATTGTTTAAGAGATAAAGAATAATGACATAATCTTCATGAAACACTGTTCTAATAGACGATAGCTCAAAGGGTCTTTAAGGTGACAAACAAGGAATGCAATTCCATCAGGCAAGAGTAATAAGATGTAGCATTAATTCTGCAGATTGTTTTTGTCGTCTTAAACCCAGAAAGCTGGTGATCAGTCATTACAACCAATGTAAAAGATTTGAAAGAAAAATGACTGTAAAAGCCTGTCCTCCTGAAAGTTTACTTTTGCGTATGCAGTACAAGCCCTTTTTACAATTATTTTCTCTTGGTGGTTCATAGTTACACTGCTGGCATTGCAAGAGTTCATTTTTATGTAAATACTATTTGCTACTTTTTATTGTATGCTATTATATAACACCCGTTCTTCATGTAAGTCTGAGACCTTATTCCTCCAAAGACCATTCATGAAGATATAAGGCAATGTGATATGCTATGCTATGCTATGATAGCCTTACCATTGGTCTCAGTGGAATCAGGATTTCACCTCTGGTTGCTCCCCCAAGTACTTGAAAGTTGGAAGCAAAACCAACATAAAACCAAAACTAATTAGGGGTACAACAGATATGCACCACACTTGTTCCATAGCATTTGAAACCATGTGCATTTACATATTGATTTATGAGATACACATGTGAGGCTCTGGGGAGATATCAAGTAATGAAAAAGAGAGTACCAGAGGAAGCAAAAAGAGGAGAAGGCATGAAATGATGATGTAGGGAGTGAGCAAGGGTGAGCAGATGCTATTACAATGCTATTAAAGGAGCGATAAAAGGAAGCAAACAGTAAGTTCCCCTAGAGGAACGCTGGGAGATTGAGATAGCTCCTCTGAGCTAATATGTAAAGAAGGTGAAAAGTCCTTGGGCCAAGTAGCAATGCTAGTCTATCTGACTCCATCATAGGATATTTGAAATAATTGGTTGAAGTTACAGATCGTGACTTATTATCAGATCCTTGCACTATAACTGGTACTAGCTTCTTTGCTGGAAGAGCCCAAAAAGATACAGATTTCCAGGCTGATCCTTGGCTGCTGCAGTTAAATACTATTTGAAAAGGAGAAAGGGAGCCCAACTGTTTGAGTTGGACCACAGTGGGTGCAGCTAGAGGTTACAAGAATAGAATAGAAATAAACTCAGACTCATATATGTCAGAACACATCTATCTCTGAGATCAACCTACTTTCTAATTGTTTCTAAATTATGAGTTTTACTGGAAAAGAAACAGGATCCTCTGTGGTTCTTCAGCAGACATACAGTATCAGTCATTAACAAGGACCTCTTCTGCAGTTTTCCCCTGCAGCTCCAGAGTCTCATTTTTAAATATTACACCACTTAACAATACTGTTGACAACAGGTGAGAATCATTTTGTGTGAATCAGCCAGCCTAGATTTTTGTATCTAGTTTGGGTTAGTCATACGCGTCACCTACTGAATTAATGAAAGGACATACACAATTGCAAAGGGAAAATCATCTCAACTTAAGGAGCTGTGAATCACTTTTTGGAAATGCTTATCGCTCTCCAGAGTTTATAAACAGAATCTACATGGTTTGTTTGGACTGACGTTTATCCTTTACATGGATCAGTTCAGGTAGGGTGAGATGTACCCGTGTAGATTGGTTGCCCTGTCCCTCCTGCTTAGGTGAACTTCAGCAATATATCCATAGGATTGCAAGAGAAGAGGAGAGAAAGCAGCTTTTACTCCTCTAATAGTTTGGGTATGATTTACCATTCATGGGAAGAGAAGGATAAAAAAATCCAAACACTTTATTCCACATATCATCAGGAAATAACTTCTTTGTAGGTGGCCTGTGGTTAGATAACTGCTGCCTCATTTTAAGGTTGGAGTAACTAACACAGTGAAGACTAGTGCAGTGGGATAGTTGCAAGGTCAGAAAACACAGAGATTTAGAACACACAGGAAGCCATCTTGTCCCCTAAGGACAGTAGTACTCTTTGAAACCCTATGTGACCTGAAAGGTAGATATTTTCTGCCACATAGTGTTGATTCACTTGTAAAACTTTAATAACTGCTTTCATAATGAAACTTGACTCTCAAGCTTACTGCTTCATAGCTTCACACATAAAAATAAGTTGCAGCTTGTTTCTTCCAAGAATATCAAATGCTTTACAAACATTAATCAAATTTTGCATCACAGGCAAAAGCGTTTTGATATTATGGATATGATAAAAGTTTTAGGCCTTGGCCAACTTGATATGTTTATCTAGTTTCCATGAGAAAGATAAAGTCCCTTTTCAAGACGTTGAAAACATCTGGGCAGTTTTTTTAAAAATGGAATCATAGGATTTTTTTTCTCATCATAATGTTTAGCCAATTTTGGGCATTGTAATCAAAAGACGTGCATATTATCATTGCTAAGTATAAGGGGAGAAAAAATTTGGTAGAAATCTTTTTTTTTTCCTATTTCTGGGCTGCTCAAAAGATTGTGCTCAAAAAAAAATGGTACGCACACATTCTCCATTCAGCCACTTTTTGCAAGTGTTCTGGGGCCAACAAGATCCTCAAGCAGTAAGACCAATCAATAAATACCAAAATTTGGTCAAAGGAATTTGACATCTTTGATAAACAAACACCACTTCAGTGTTTTCTGGACTAAGGCCATTTTGAGGCTTAAATAGGGCAGCGGCAGCCTCACTATTCAACAGTTGAAGACAAGATATGGAAATAATTTTAGCCAGGTGACAATGTAGAGGTAATTTAGGGGACACAATGTAAAGGACCCAAACTATTCAACTCTTATGAAAATGGGTGATGATTTAAGCTATAGTTTTAAATTTTATCTCAACTGAAACAAGCTATTTCTGATTTATAAAGAATTTTAAGGACTTGTTTTTTTTCAGGTTAGGAAGAAAAATATTCCATTGCAGAAGTTATATTCTTGCAATTAAACCCAACTATACTGAAGAATTTGAGAAAACAACAAAGCATAGACGTTAAAAGTGGCAGACATGATACAAAATTCTTCTCTGATTCAATACTGTTATCTTTCTGAATGCAAGATCATTGGGGAACATAATCAGCTAAAACCAATGTATTGCCATTGCAGTAAGTTGTTCAAAATCCATCAGCATTAACCTTGTTCTGCTCTCTTGGAGTGTAAAGAGCTATTTAACCAGTAGTTTTCCAAGTTAATTTCTTCTCTAAGGTAAAATTATGCGTCTAGTGGCCTTTATTCATAATTGCAGCACATTAAATACATGATTTGCTGATCTAGATTACATTAAGATGCTTTTTGCTTGATCAAAAAAGCAGTTAATTGTTAATTAAGCATTTTCCAAGTCTGATAAGAGCAAGGGACTCCCCCCCAAATATCAGTGGAAACCTATTTTATTTGTTTTCTAAATTAATTTAATCATCTCCATGAAAATTTCCCATGGAAATTACCTAACATGTTGATCTACATTTTCAGGTGTCAATGGTACTCAAATATGCCCAGTCTCAATTGCTGTAGCAGAAGATTATGGTTTTTATGGCAACATTCCTCGCCTTCGCTACCTTCGCCTGGATGGAAATGAAATTCAGCCTCCAATTCCATTGGACGTTATGATATGTTTCCGACTACTTCAAGCTGTTGTAATATAAAGATATTGCAGTGTTACTGTGAGAGTGCTAAGATACAAGTTTTGCTGGAATGAAACTTGTTCTAACTCATAAATCAAGAAGTAACAGCTTTATTTTGACTTTAATTTTTTCTTTGCTTGCATCTTTTCTACATCTGAAAAGATCGTTCCTCTTTCAAAAGAGATTTTGGATGGACGTGAAACACGTGCTTAACACTTTACCTGAAAATTCCTAATGCGAATATATTGAAAATTATCTGTGTAAGATCTGAAATATTCCAAAGCAAATTCTTGCTTACTCCATCTTCCTTGTCAAATGCTACAATGTCTATCCTGCTAACATCTTTGCTACAGACCAATTATATTTCCTTATTTTGTTACATAGTAGCTAACATAAAGACTTTAGGTGCACTTGGATAAACATGTATGCTAGAAAAATCATGAGTTGCATGACTACTAGTTATTAGAACTGCTCCACTGTCTTTTTAAGACAGTGACTAATGGCGAAAAACCACTTAACATGTAAATAGCTCATAAATTGCTGTCATCCTTTGAAGACTGATACTTTTAGGGCATGAAGCATATGAGGCTCAGGATCCAAAGCGATATACTGAATACATATTGTTGTATGGATTCATTCAGTGTACGATTTCAGAATTGGAATACATTGATCCAACTCAAATCCAGGCACAAGGGAACATGAGATGAAATCTTGATCTATCAAAGTGCCAATTTTCCACTGTTTCGCTCTTCAGTATTCCATTTCTTGTTTTGGCACCATTTCTTTCTGTAGCTTTGGGATAGTCATTGAATATTTGGTCCATTTTAGTTTCCATAGAGACACAACCAAGAACAGTAATGATTACATGTTTCACAGACTAAGTACTCCACAAAAATTGGAATGGCTAGTTAATATAATGATCATAAATAGAAAATTAAGAAATTAATACATCCCCCTTCCAATTATTTACTGAACTAGACAAACATTTGCATAGAAATCATATCAGTTTAAGCAAATGCAATCGACTCAGAGCGGTATTTAGATATCTGCTGACTCACACACACACACACAATAACACTGAATTTTAAAAAAGTCCAGATATTTAGAACACAGCACATTCACAATTCACTAACAAGGGAGATATAAGCGGGCATCTTTTCATGAAATCTGGTTGCTTTTTTTCTATTTTTATAAGATAATATTGGCATTTCAATACACAACTTGAATATTAGAGTCAACTATTCATTGGGGGATTATGACATTTTTATCTCTAAAAGCCAGCTCAACAGACTATCCATCAGTCATATTTAGTCTTCTTGTATTTGTAGATAGAAGCAATTAGTTACTTTTTGATGTCTTGCCTCTATTTCCAATCTTTTAAGACTGGCCTCAGTAACAAGCATTTGAAGACTATGCATGTGCTATAATTTTTTCTTTGAAGATGAAATATTTTCTTAAAAGTAGATTTTTAAAAGGGTTGAGAACTCCAATTTCTAACATTTAATCTCTTTTTATCTGAAAATCAGGCCTTATTCTGCTCAAGTGCACTTGCAAAAATAACTCAGTATAGAAATACAGTACAGAAATAACCCATTCAGAAATCCTATCACAAAAACCTTTATTTTTATGGTTCTTTTTATGTGATTGATGAGAAACTTCTGCCCTTCTAGCAAAAATATTTTCTGTACCTCTGCATTCACTCTATATGAAAAAATATAGATTTAAAAAGTCTCTATGTATGCATGTTTACTTATGTTCTTTACTCAGTAATAGCATAGTAATTTATTTTTTTTTTGGAAAAAAGTGACAATACTACTAATTAAATTATGACAATAATTATGCACTTATATTTGGAAATTAATTTCTACTTTAAAAACCAACAAATATACATACTCCAAAGTGAATATTCACAGGCATATATGCCCATTATTAACATTATTTGCAGCTCTAACTGTTCCTATAGCAAAGCATCTCGATATTCCAGCCAAAAATTATGACATTCTTAGGCACTATATATATATATTAAAAAAAAAAAGAAAAGACTAACCCTTCCCCAAAGAGGTATCAAGCTAATATATGATAAGGGATGATATGTAAATTCATATAGGGACACTGGGGCTTCAAGGTACTCCATTTTGTGATGAAATCAGAGACATATAATCTGATGAAATAACTTTTTACAGTTATTTTCCACCAGTTGGCGTGATATCAATAGATTTTTCCAATCTACTGTACAGTGGGAAGACTTACAAATTACTTCATCAAAGGTCAGCACTATCTCATGGAACAATCTTTGGATACATGCAGATCAATGCTCAAGACTTGTCTCTGTCATAACCCAGTTAACCTGAGTGAAGATAAAAATTCTTGATACATCCTTGGACAAACAGTTATTAGGCTGAAGAGCTGATGCTGCCAAGTGCTCTGTGTTCTACACCTTTGATGCAACCTGCTGATTCCACATCCGGGAACAGTTTCATAAAAAAAAATTCTAAATATCTTCATTTAGGCTAATTTATCCCATCTTGATTCCCTTTTTCAGAACCAGCAGTATGAAGTAGCATGAAAAATAGTTATATACTGTAGTGACCTTCACAAGATAAATCAACCCTGGTTGGGGACTGAGGATCTTTACTGCATGCATGTCTCTATTTGCAACAGTCTTCATGTTCTTAAATATTCGGGGAAAGTTGGCAAAATTTCCCCTCAGATTACAATAACAGGCCTAAATTGCAGTATTGCGTGGATCTAAACAATGTAGGCTTTCAGCCACACCTCATCCAATCCATTCGTTATGCCAGAAGACTATAAAGGAAAATGTAAAACATAATGTCCTTTTCCCTACGAAGAGGGTCCCTAAAACAATGTCAAAAAACATCACTGTGTTTGAAAGTCTGATGTTAATTCTTCATAATCCAAGATTAGTCTAAGACTCCCCACTGATATTTCCTGATTCATAAAAAGTCGCGTTCTCTTCCACCGCGAGGAGGGAGGAACGGACCTGTCTGAACCCACAGCTGCCTTCATAAAGCTGACGCTTGTTTCACTTGATTGTCAGAGCACAACGCAAACAGTTTTGAATGGAATATCGTGTACAGAAACAAAGACATTTGCAAGTATGAGAAGTTGAGTACAAAGCAGGTCACCTTAAGCACACCGCAGTTGTCGTCAATCGCTAACCAAACCACAAACACCTACTGCTTTGCCAGAAATGCTTGTTATCTATGAGTTAATTTTGAAATGATAGTAGTTAACACAGATGTACTATCACCTCAGCCCAGGGTACAGGCAGCTGCTCTGTAAAGAAAAGCATTAAAGCAAAGTGAGATTCTCAAGAACTGAGAAGCACCCAGGCATTTTTGCCATGTCTGCCAGCTTGACTGGAGGCTGCATGCTGGATCTATCAAAAGACTGCTTGGTTTTATAATGCAGCTGGCTCCACAGGAAGAAAGTCCTTTATAGATGCTGGCAGCACAGTTAAAAATTCAGCCATGTGCATGAGACTCCCTGCTCTATACTCTGACATTTTCTGTTTCTTTCTCAATATTCCAAGGAGTTTGCCACCGCTTTCTTCAAAATTTTTAACGAAAACCACCACCACAACAATCATCTGCAGAAATGCCGGTGAATGCAGCAGCTCGTATGACGCTTGAAGGAAGAAACACAAAACACTAATAGGTAAAAATCTGGAAGACAACTAGAAATCCAATTTGCATGTTTGCAATTAATAACTCCAACACATATGACTGAGGGATTTTCATTCACCTTTGTTGCACCCAAATAGTTTCCAATGTTTGCCACAAATACTTACTGTCATTTTTCCAGCCTAGAAAAAAGTATTTGCTGATATTATATTGCAGCTACCTTTGTTAGCTGTCTGGAATCAGATTACTGTAACATCTAAACTGCTGTTAGTTGTTGAACAGCTAATATCCCACTTCTGCCATGTGTGGCAGACAACCTTTGTGATTACTGAAGTCAGCAAGTGAACATCCTCCGCTTGACTGAAAGTCTCCTCCATAATTGCATATTCTTCCCTAGAATTGCTTACTCATTTAAACATATAGGGTGGCTATACAAGGCACTGCACTGCGCAATGATACTCAGGAGCAGTGCTAACCACTTCAGATCAAGCATCTGAAGCAGTATGCATCATTTGCATCATGGTCTGCCTTATCTAATTTACCTTCTTCTGCATCAGTTGAGGTAATATTGCTTCTAATCCTGAGCTTGCTCTGTCAGTCCTAGTTCAAACCCTTCCCAATACAGTTCTTTCTCACACTCCCTGCACTGTTGCCAGTGGTCTGGGTATTCTTCTTACTGTTTTTGTCTTGGTTTCCAAACCATATGCATTTGATCAACCTATCTGCCCATCAGCTTGATTTAGTTTTGTTTCTTCAGTGTTTTTCAGCTTAAGCACGTTTACGCACGCTGCACTAATGGCCGTTCTGATTTCATCTGCATCTGGTTTTCTCCAGGGGAAGCACCGGCCAGGCTGACACACACATATGGCAGCAGAGCAGCGTGCCCATCTGCTCACAGCCTTCACACCTCCTCCTACACACCTGCACAGGCCCAGGCTGATGCTGTCACCTAGCCTATATGGTATACCTGGAAATCTCTTTTCCAAGGCTTCCCCTCCCCATCCTCAGTCTTTTTTTTTTGGTAGGAAAATTAGTGAAGAAACTGGAATCACATCTTCCACAAACAAAAGGTGTTCCTGATTAGGGGTTGGTGCGATGAAAGTTACATATGGAATCAGAAGCTCTCAGTGAAGCTAGGCTTTTTCTATAAATCATTTATTCATTCACAGTTTTTATGAATTATTAGCAAATTCAGAAAAAATATGCAAATAGGTTCAACCACAGGAAAAAAAAAGTATTTAAAACAGTGTTCATGCTTCTTATTTAATAATCCTGTAGCTAAGACATCCATGTAGCACGAGATGCCCTTCTCCAGGTAATGGAACCCTAGAATTTGACTGAAATCATGTTCCAACTACTAGGAAGCCTATTTCAAGGAGGGTAATCC